ACTTGGGAGACCGAACATAACTTAGTAATTTTGTAATTAAAAAGATTATAAAACGTAGAGATCCGAAGAGAATTAAGAGAGGCGTGCCACTTTACATTTATTTTAAAAATTAAACCTTTAGCCAATTAATTGAGCTTAAAAATAAAAAATAAAAACATACTCACACTACATATAAAGAAATACTTTTGGGCCTATTTTTATCCTTATTTTCATGGGCCTAGGGTTGTCGCCCATGTTGCACCCCTAGGGCCGCCCCTATTTAGAGCCCTTGGCATGCAACGACAGCTTGTCCACGAACACGAACATTAATCCTGGCGGAGCGCAGACCAACTTTCTATCCTAACAACGCATCCCCATGAACAGACTTGTGTGACCAATGTGTTGATCACCACCGGGTTCACAGCCACACCCCGAACCTTGGGCCAACGGTTCCCCTTCACCCTAAACTTGTGGTGCGCATTCCCATAATCTTTAAGCATCGCCTTCTCCGTACTTCCGCCACCGCCACCTGCCTAATTATAGCCCAACACGTGTTGGGCACAATCTTCTTTAAAAGTTTAACCCAGACAGGAGCTTAACCTAGACAATATCAGGGTTGTGACTGGTCACGATGGCGTAGTCACCGGAGCACCTTGCAGGAGCATAATCTTCTTTATGTAATTCACTCTTTTTTATTACGGAGTACCAATTTATGAAATAAAATTGTACTACCTCCTTCCCAATTTGATGATCATGTTCAGTATTCACTTGATCAACATAAATCACTTTTAATCTTTTACCTTATATATCCAGCTTTATCAAATTTGATGACTTTTTTGCGACTTTGTAAAAGTTTTAACGTAGTTTTTGAATATGTAAATTTTATTTTATAAAACAATTTGAATGTTGACATGAAACGTTTATCATAGTCGGTCAAACACCGTTAACCGCAACGAGACTATCAATTAAATGATGTCAGTTTCATGGTAAAATATGTGCGCGTCTCCGGTTTTATTTTTAAAAAAAAGTGTGGCGTTTTCTTTGAAACGGCCCCTTATTCAACACTGCAAATTGACGTTTTTCTACTAGTGAATCCCAATTAGGTTTTAAGTGTTTGAAGCTTTATTTTTATCAGTGTCATGCATGACGAAGAAATAAAAGTAAAGCTTAATTAAAGAAAGAAAAAGATACCTTGAAATCCTCCCTTAGAAATAAGGTATATAATCGTGCACTTCTAATATAAGAATATACGCAGTAAAACTCATCATCAGGATAATAATGTTACTCTTATATAGGAAAAAAATTATATATTTATGTTTTAAATATAAATATATTTATATTTATATTTTATACTTTAAATCGCCTTTACTGACATTTTGGGAATATATATACACACACATACATTATTACCAGGGGCGGATCTAGTAAGCCCAAAGTGGGGGCAGCTGCCCCCAATAAAGTTCCATTAATCCTTGTAATTTGTTAATAAATTTTAGAAGCTCAATTATTTGCCCCCAATACAAAAAATGGATTGCCCCCTATAACTCAAAGCCTTCTCCCGTAAATGAAAAAACTGACTTGGAGTTCGAGTCACAAGATTCCAAGCGAGCAGATAAGCAGTATGGTAAAGACAGTGGCTCTGTAAGACTCCAACTCTCTATGTTAGAATTAATAAATTACTTAAATGTTAGACTTGAAGTTGTGCAGTATTTGTTGCCTAGTTTGATTGTTTAATCCTCTACATGTAATCATTGTATTGTTTACTTTTTTAATGTCATCCATTAATTTTTAATTTTTATATAAATGTTAAATAAGTTTATTAAACTTATTATAATACTATATATTAATTTATTATGAGATAATTTATTTTCATCAATTAGGTAATTTTTTTAGAAGGATCAATTAGATTTATTTTAATTGATGAGTTACTGGTATAGTTATACAACTATTACTCTATTAGTGTAATGCTTTACACTATTAATTAGAAAATAGAAAATGACATTTAATAAGTTTGAAATCCTTAATGCAAATAATATGTTACTTTAGGTAATTAAATAAAGTCTATTAATGTATTCAAAAGTCTATTAATATGTTACTCTCTATGTCATAAAATTCTTCTCACTTATCATTTAGGGATGTCACTAAAAATTCTTCTAATTTCTATTTTTGGAAAATTTTGTGTGGTTAAAATTCACATTTACTTTTTTCTTACTAAACCACAATAATACATTTCCACTTTATTCTCATTTTCTTAAATTTTGATTCAAGGCAAACCGGGAAAAAATTTATAGGATGACGGGAGTATGTATTTAATTTCACTACTTTTCAGACTCAATGGTGAGGTATTGGACATTCATTTCTTCACCAATACTGAATACTCTATAGTCAAAATTTTATTGTTTCAAATAGTGCTTCTCATTGTTTTCCCCGAAATAGTGAAGATCAATTTGCGTAACAGAATTGATGATAAGTTTTTGAGTTATTGTCTAATTTGTTTTATTGTAAATGATGTGTTTGAAATTATTATAATGAAATTCTAAAAGATGAAAACTCAGTGCGAACAATTGTACTATGATGTATTGTATTAAAACTTTTCTTATTATACTATTACATTGATACTTTATTAATTATTTTCAAAGGCATTTTTTATTTACCCCTGCCTGGCCGCCCCCAATAGATTTTGATCCTGGATCCGCCACTGATTATTACCAAGTTATATATGGAGTATCAATTAATACGGAATATGTTTTTCTCGAATTTGATTATTAAATTGTATCATCTCTCTTTCGTAGTTACTTAACTTATTATATGCACATAATTAATACTCTCGTTACATTCCTTCGCGTCTGCATCTACCTGGCCATTTATATTAAGAGTCTTAAGACCGGCTTGAATACCAATTCAATTAAGAAAGTGATGAAGCTAAGCTTCTACATAACACTTAATAAGTATCTAAGCTGAGCCGTTTAGCACTTGTTAAATTTAAAGGTAATCCTCTAATGTTTTTTCCTTTCAATTCAACTAGCCTGTGCATTTATGATTAGTTATTGGTTTGGATTTTGTTTGCTATTTTTGTTAAATCTTGTTAGGATTAGGAATGTCTATACATGTACTTTATGAAACTTTGATCATAGCCATTAAACATTGATTATATTACTTCTCATTTGATTAAATATGGTTCGCATTTGATTAAATATGGTTCGCATTTGATCATATATATAAATGATCAAATACCTACATCTCCAAATTTGCAAACTCATCCAATGAGTTGATCTAAAGGTTATAGGGTCAAATTCCAGTGATAACATTTGTTATTTTGAGAAATGAGAACAACTCAAAACGATGCTCATTATGATTCTTGATGTGCAAATTTATAATTAAAATAATGCAAAGTTCAAATGTTCACATTTGTGGATAAACTAATGCACAATTCAAATGCTACTAATTTATGATAGTGCATGTTTGTGTTTTACATAATGCATGATACGCAAATCTAACGCTATATATATATATAATTATATTATATATATATATATATATATATATATATATATATATATAGATTTTGGATCAAATGAGAACCTTGCTTAACGTGAGAACGTGAGAACTCCACTTTTAAGCAATTGTGATGCACTATATCGATTATTTCTTGCACATTTTCGTGTTAACGAAATAATTACAAATTTGTCTCCACACTTATATAAAGTTGGCACGTTTTGACCCAAGTTTAAAAAGTGCAATAGGTGAGCCTCATAGTGCACCGAGATGTGTTAAAAGTGCATGGTTCTCACGTTCTCACGTTAAGCATGGTTCTTATTGGAACTGCTCCCTATATATATATATATATATATATATATATATATATATATATATATATATATATATATATATATATATAGACAAATCTTCATGTCAGGCCGGCCTAACGGGATGCTCCGTCCATCCGAGCCCGTTTAGGCATCTTCCTGGTGGAATTTTTTTATGAAATTTTTTGAGCATATTCCTCATCAAGTCTAGTTTGTCCATACCAAATTTCAGCTCAAAATTCGATCGGGAAGGCATTCAAATAATTTTTTGAAGTTGACTGCAGTTTTATATGTATATTTTGGCGCAGTCAACTTCAAAAAATTTCATCAAAAAATTCCACCGGGAAGGTGCCCAAACGGGCTCGGCCGGACGGAGCATCCTGTCAGGCCGGCCTGACATGAAGACCACTCATATTATATATATGTATGTGTGTGTGTGTATGTATGTATGTATGTATGTATGTATGTATGTATGTATGTATGTATGTATGTATGTATGTATGATGTACGTACGTACGTATGTATGTATAGGAAGAAGTATTATATCATATACAGTTTAACAATAAAATAAATTTTTGACTGAATAAGCCGTGTTTTCAACTATGTTTACCATTTTATGGTATCCTATAAAATTCATTTTCCTTTTTCTTACTCAATCACAACCAAGCATTTTCATTTTATTCACACTTTCTTAAATTCCGATCAAAATCAAACCAAGAAGAATTTCATGGGACGGAGGGAGTAATTCATAAGTTATTTAAAAGAAAATAATTTGTAAGTTAACATGTTTATGAATGAGTGATTATGTATCAATTTAATTAAGTTCATCAAGTCACAAGTTAAAATTTGACCTTAAAAGCCCGTTTAGAAGCTGTTCTCTTCGTCTTAATCTTATTACTTATTGATTATTCTTATTTTATTCAGATCAGATCAGAAAGATTTAGATCAGATCAGATCAGAAGCATTCATATCAGATCAGAAAGATTCAGATCATATCAAACCAGATTAGAAACGTTCAGATCAGATCAGATCAGAAAAGTTGAAACATGAATTATCACTTTTATTATTTTATTAATTTAAATTATTATTCTTATAATCATTACATTATAATCAATAATAATAATACATTAATAATAATAGTAATAATAATATAATAATAATAATAAAATATTATTATTATTAAATTATAGTAATATCAATATAATTATAATATACCGGCCCAGTCTGGCCCAGTGCCCTGGCTCCGCCCCAATATTTACTATTTAGTAAACTCCATTGCAACCTTTATCTAATCTGTCCATTTTTAATTAGTGATTTTTGACTTTTTCTATAGCTAATTGACCTTTAGGCTTTAACCCGTAATATGTTTGTGTATGAAAAATTGATTGGTGGACGGTGGTGATGCAGATCATTGGTTCCAGTACCCACGAATATAAGTCAGGACAACAAAATGGGGGACAAAAGACATCCTCACTTTTTCTTCATCATAAGCATTATCACCTTCTGCTTTCAAGCAGTGGATCCATCTGATCTAGGAGCAGACAGACAAGCCCTTTTGGACTTTGCTAATGCTGTTTTGGTTATCCCTGGGAACCATACGCTGGATTGGAACCCGAGAGGTCCAGTGTGCAATCAATGGGTCGGTGTCAAATGCAGCAATGCAGCAAATGGGAGGAAGAGAGTAGTTGAGCTTCATCTTCCCGGGTTTGGAATCCATGGGTGTATCCCAGAGCATACAATAGATATGTTGGATGCTCTCGAAACTCTGGATCTTGAGAATAACTCGCTCACCGGACCGATACCGCCTGGCCTCGGCCACCTCCCCAATCTTAAGCACTTGAACCTAAGTAACAATCACTTCACTGGCTCCATTCCCTCACCCCTCGGGCGATTTCCTCCTAATTCATTTGGAGGGAATGATAATCTTTTCCTATCTCACCGCCGTCCTATTATTACTACGACTACTACTACTACTTCTCTGGATCTTGCGGGTGATCTACCCGATCCCGATCCCGAGCACCCGCCGCCGCTTACTCTTTCCGTGTCAAGAAGGCTTCACCAAAGAAGGAGGACTTGGAGGAGTAAAAAATCTAGAAAAGTTTGTTACATTGTTATAGGGTGTATATCCGGTGTAGCGTTTGTGTTTATCATTATCTGTCTTGTTGATTGTTATCGCCGTAGCAGGTGAGTGAGTATAGGAGAGGCCCTCCCATAAAAAAAATAAGAATAAATTGTACGTCAATCAACACGTACGATGTCATATAATTTAATAAAAAAAATAAGAATAAATTGTACGTCAATCAACACGTACGATGTCATATAATTGTAAATAAATGCAATTCAAATGTGTAACTAACGTTTAATTATAAAAGTGCATCATGTTATTCATTCTCATTTAGATGAGGACCTCCGATCCGAGGCAATATAATCTTGAGAGATCATGAAAATAAAGTAGGAAATTGCTCAATTTATTACAGAAGACAACATATATAATCTTTAGAGATCGTGAAAATAAACAAGAAAATAGCTCAAATTATTATGCTCCCTCCGCCGTATTTAAAAATTCCCTACGTAGTACACTTTTCTTTTTGGGATGCATTTAAAAGTTGTCTACACTTCCATTTTTGATAAGTTTATCCTTTATAAAATACTCAATTATGCTTACGTTATCTACCTTTTATCTTCTTTTCATACTTTTACATACTCCCTCCTACTTTTTCTACATCATATACTACTCCTACTATTCTATCCTAAAATCTTGTGCCCAAAACTAGTGTAGAGATCATTTAAATACGGAGGGAGTAGCTTTTCAATCAGGCGTATGATTTGTGTTCTTAAGTCGTAACCATCTGTCTTGTTTTATGTTATCGTTATCTTAGAGAAAACGATAACAAAACAAGACATTTGTTCTTCTATTAATTGAGCTCCAAAAATACTGTGCCAAAAGCAAACATCAAGTACTGTTCGGGGCGGAGGGAGTAGTTTATTTACTGAACGTGTTTAATATACCTCAACGTCTTGTATATTACTCCAATATTAAGTTTAAAATCAACATGTCACGGTTTCCAAAATAAAGTAATGTTTAACCATGCATTGATATGTAAAAATATACCCTTAAAAAACTTATAATAATAAAGTAACATTTCAATAATATTTATTAAAATGAATAATTCAAAACTGTTTTGGTATTATAAAATAATACAGTATTTGACTAATTAACGCTCAAAGTTAACAAAGTGTCACTCAAAAAGTTAAACTGTAAACTTAAATGTAGGACGGAGGGAATATTATATTCGATCAAGCATTCAAGCCTTCCTAAAACTAAAAGAGTAGTAGGTGCCGGCAACTTGAATCGTTGAATACCATTCAAACTTCATAACAACAAAGGTTCTCTTATATATTTATACTAGTATTATAATATAAACAAGATATGGAGGTAACAAATAACGTACTCCGTATAATATTACCTCTGTCCCAAAATGATGATTGTTTATTTTCTATTTGGACTATCTCAAAATGATATTCATGTTTTCTTTTTTAGTAGAAACAATATTGTAAATTTGGTAAAGTTTGTGTGATTCAAAATCATTTTTACTTTATTATTAAATTATCAATGTCAACCGCATACATTCATTTTTCTAAATAATCGTGACAAATGTTATGGGACGTCCCAATGGTTTTATCATTTATACTCATTCTTTTATGAAAAGTACAAGTGGTGAGAAAAGTAAGATTATATTGATCATTCTATTACACTTTCTCAATATTTGAACTCAAAAAATATAGGACCATTAACTTGAGACTAAAATGGGACCATCCATTTGGGATGGGAGGGAATTCTATCAACCAAATCAACAAAACAAGATGCCCAATGACAACAAAAAACATTAGTGTCGTGCACAATAGTTTGAGAGGAAAAACAAAATCAAACCAAAAGTATGAAAATATTTCGATAGTTATCTAAATTGGTTGACACAAAAACCTAGATAAATTTGGAACTTCTTTTTTTGTTTTTAAGAGAAACAATAATTCAAGATTATTATGAGGAGTTAATTGTATTAAGGAATAATGCCTTCCTTAACAATAAATTTAACTCACAATACACACAGTACAATACAAAAGGGCAAATACCCAAACACCTCACACATCAATAACACTGGAAATGAAGCTTCTACAAAATCAAAGCAACAGAGAAATTAAGCATATTAAGGTACAACAATTCAATGCAAGATAAATTTGGAACTTTTGAGCTTCTAGAAAAGCCACCACCAAAACCCGCCCGGTTCAGGTTTTCAAACATTCTCCCGGCCCGGGGGGCTTTTTTGTTCTTTTTTTAAAGAGGGGCTTTTTTGTTCTACTAGCAAGATTTTGTGATATGTCATAATTTCAATGAAAATTGAATTAAACTACTACACGTACGTAATATTCTGTATATTACGATACTCCGTATATATACATACCCAAGATGATAGACATACTGCCAAAACATGACAATAATTAGTCCTATTTTGGGAATAAAAACATGATAGTTCTTTTTTAAAATTTTCAAACATTTTTAGTCCTATTTCCGGTAATATTCTCTTTTGGCTTTTATTTATTACGGAGTATATATGGTACGTATTAACTCATGTGAAACTTTTCCTAAAAGTAAAACATAACATTATTCAATAGTTTGCGTTGGTGGTAGTGTACCAGGACTAAACAAACACCAGGCCAATATCAAAGGTCTCAATAAAATCAATACGAAGTAAAATAAATAATAAAACAAATAAATACTCCGTAAATAAATAATTAAATATAAAATAACGTAACATACGAGAGGTATTTGAAGTAATATACGGAGTGTTTTAATTAAACCTAAGAGCCCTTGTCAGCCTTGGCAGCGGCAACGGCGGCTTGACCACGGACACGGCCAGTCCTCCTGGCGGCGAGCAGCCCAACCTTCTGTCCCGGCGGCGCATCACGGCGAACAGTACTTGCATGACCAATGTGCTGGTGGTTACCACCACCGTGGGGATGCTCGACCGGGTTCATAGCCACACCACGAACCTTGGGCCAGCAATTCCTCTTCACCCTAAACTTGTGGTAAGCATTCCCGGCTTTAAGCATCGGCTTCTCCGTACGCCCGCCTCCGGCCACCTGACCGATCATAGCCCGACACGCGCTGGGAATAATCTTCTTTGCCCCCGACGGGAGCTTAACCCTAGACGTCCCAGCGTCGGGGTTGTGACTGATCACGATGGCGTAGTCGCCCGAGCACCTCGCGAAAGCGCCCCGATCACCGACCTTGTGCTCGACATTGCATACGACGGCTCCCTCGGGGATGGACCGGAGAGGGAGCACGTTCCCCACGGTGAGAGCGGCCTTCTTCCCGCAGTACACAAACTGGCCGGTGTACATGCCCTCGGCGGCGATGAAGAGCTCCTTCTGATGCTGGTAGCGGAAAGGGTGGCGGAAATTGACCCGAGCGAGCGGGGCGCCGCGGCCGGGATCGTGGACGATCTCCTGCACGACGCCCTTGAGATAGCCGTTGCGCTCCCCGAAATCGAGCGGGCGGAATTTGGCCGGCCCTTTACGGTGGTGGGTGTGAGACTTGAAGACGGAGCCGGCACCTTTCCGCTGAGCACGGATGACGCGACCCATTGTGTTGCCGGCGGAGGGTTGAAGACGAATTAATGGAAGAGAACTAGAGAAGATCAGCAGCTAGCGGCTTTATGCATGTATAAAAAGGCAGATGGGAGCTGCGGTAATGTTTGGGTTAGGGCTAGGTTTTGTTATGCGCTAGATTTGGTAAGGGTTCAAAGCCCGATGGGACACTTCATCACCACATTAAATTAAGAAATAAAATTCTACTTGTAACAAATCTTTCACTTTCCTTTCTCATGGTACTTGTTCAAACTTCAAAGTAAGATATAGCCAAAATTGTTAATTTCATCATCATCGTACATTCATAAAAAAGTCAATTAGATTCTTGTACTTTTGAAAAAATCAATCAAATCCTCAAATTAAGTAAAAACATTCAATTATGTTGCAAGCCATTAGCTATACTAGAATTTGGTAGTGGTATTCTCAAAAAAGATATATTTAAGTATAGAAAGAAAAAAAGAAAAATAATTAAAATACCTCAAATTTTGAAGGGTTGTGAGATAAATATCTCAAACTTTCATATGTAACTTAATTACCCAAATTTTATATAAGAAGTTGTTTTGACATCATGTTCATGTATCATTTCTTCCAAAAATAATTTATGATGTTAATTGCATAATTTAAAATAGCAAATTGAAAACGTTGCAATTATATAGAGAGGGGGGGGGGGGGTAACACTATTTATTTTACAATAGAAGTTTAGAATGCTATGTGTTTCTTAATGAATGCCAAAATATTTTAAATTATGAAATAACTCCAAAATTAAAAATGACATTTTTGAAAAATAATAATAATACATGGTCATAGTGTTAAAATAACTTTTTATACAAAACTTGGAGCATTTAAATTACATATGCAAGTTTGGGACGCTTATCTCACACTTTTTCAAAGTTTGGGGTACTTTAATATTTTTCCCGAAAGGAAAAATATATATTTACTTGGATTGGTTTCACTACCATACGAGCTGACAACAGATCAAACTATCGCACAATACTTAAACAGATCAAATCTGACTTAGCTTCCACATTTTTAAAAAAAAATATGACATCTTTAGTTCCTCAATTAGTCACCATATTAAAATGTCACACTCGTGTTTTTGATATTGTAAATGTCACTCTCGAATTGACAAATGTGATGTAAATGTCATCCTTAGTGAACTTATTGGTAGTTCAGAAATCGGGATAGATCATAAACGATGGGAATGACATTTACAATCTTAGAAACTTGGATCTTACATTTCAATACGATGACTAATTGAAGGGCCAAAACTGTGATTATTCCTTTATAAAAACACACATAGACCAAATATCTATAACAACATACTATGGCTGTTTTACACGTATAGATCAAGCAATTATTGAACGGTTCGAACCAAAATATCATTTCAAACTGGATCATATCATATTTTAGCATAACAAACAAGATGAAACCGGACTATCTTAGATAACTTCAATCCAATTTAAAATATGAATCTTTGGAACTCCGGATGTTTAGAGCATCTTCAATGCTATAATGCCCACGGTGCACATGTGTCATGAGTTATAGCCACATAATTATTAGCAAATAAATTATTTCTCTCCTTATTTGAATGATTTTATATAATTTTAGTAAATTTTTCCCTGCAATGTCAACAACAATGTCAACATTAGACGGTCTCCTTGACATTGTGGAGAATAACTTATCAAAACTGTATAAAATCATTCAAATAAGGAGAGAAATAATTTATTTACTAATATTTATGTGGTCATCTCTCATGCCACGTGTGCACCGTGCACATTATACCATTGAAGATGCTCTTACTGCAACCAAACAACATAAAAGATTGTAAATATTGGAAATTGATTCTCCTTCCACTTTTCTTTTAATATATAGCTGAACCAAAATTAAAATTGCTTTTTCATACATTGTTTTCTCCCTTTCTTAAAAACGGCTTATCTCATAAATTTGGGACACCTAGAACTAGTTGTGTAATTTCATAAAAACTACGTAGTATTCTGTTTGTGCTACCGATCGAGCAATTAAGGTCGTTAACGAGCCGAACCGAGTCTCAACACCCAAAGCTTGAGTTCGGCTCGATAAGAAATTAGTGGTGTTTGGGCTCGAACTCGAAGCTTGGCGAGCTTTATAAATGAGACGCGTGATCGGCTCCATAGGCGTTTGATGTTCGTACCGAGCGCTCGATGAGCTTGATAAATATGCTCGAATTTAAAGTTTTAAGTAATGCTCGTTAATAGGCTCATGCTCGAATGATTCAACAAGTATTTGGTTCGTTAATAATCATATTTAAATTCATAAAATCGTACTAATTATATTTAAAATTTGACATATATAAATTATATTTATAATTTCACTAATTATATTTTAAATTTGACATATATATAAATTATATTTATAATTTGAAGGTGTTTTCTCTTGTTTGAACTTTGAACTGATCCTCTCGATTAATTTTTCGAACTAGTTCGAGTTTGAAAGTTGCTCAATCTTGTGATTTAAGTCCATCTTTTTTTTAGACCCTCAGGGATGGGTGTCTATCTTTTTTTTTTTCTTTCGAAACCTCGCTCGAACTGGCGATAAAAACTCTGTTCTTTAATGGTCTCAAATCTGCTCCTGAACCGCTCAACCTGACTCCCGTTCGTTCCGCCTGTTCCGATCCTCTCCCTCAGCGGTCTCAACATTAGTCAATAGGGAAAAGCTGAAGCCCAGCCCTCAGTTGATTCGATCGGTTCCGGATCTCGGGTTGTTTTTTGTAAGTCTTAGACTCATCTCCCATCTCTTCCTATCTTAACATGTGCTGATTTATATCTTGGAACCTCTTTATCACTATCTGATAGCAAAGGGAGATGAAATGATAAAAGAAAAGTAGTAGATTTTTGTTTTTTATTTCGATGTTTAACTCTAATTTAATCCATCATTGGCGTGTTAGTTTTACTGTTTTACTAATCTAGAGCACGATCTATTTTCACCCCACATTCTTGGCTGTAATTTGTAAAAAAAAAAAAAAACTCTGATTCTGTTATCAGACACAACACAATAATTGATATAGTTAGAATTTTGCACCAATCCTTCAACTAATTCTATGAGCAAGTGCACAACTCCCACATGGCCACATCCCATAGAATATCAATCAGCATGGCTATTTTTTTGTTGGGGTGTATATATTTATCTATATTTGTTACTGTTTTTTCTGTCAGCTTTCACTGGAAAATTGGCAAAGTAATCTGCATTGCATTCTAATATATTGATATAAGGGATCAGCATCACCTCAAATGGCTGACGGTGTAGGACTCAAGAAGTACGGGGTCCCAATTTACGGGGCTGCATGGGTCCCGTCCAGGGCCATCACATCCGCTCCTGAACCAAAGCCGAAGGAAGATGGAGACAGTATGGTCCCTGCTGACAAGTTGTCTTCACTCACTGCTGACAACTATATTGTCCTTGCTGGAGGTGGCGGTGAAGGGCGTAGCGGCGTCCCAAATGCTATCCTCCTTGTTCATTTCGACTCTGACTCCCACATTCTATCCAACCAACCAGTGAGTGCTCTTTCTTTGGCATTCTCAATATTATTTATGTTGTTTTGTTACAGAACTAATATCTTCCTATCCCTGCGCGTAATACACATACACATGTTCTCCACTCATTCACATACACAAATATATGTTTACTGAAACTTGTGTGCTTATGGTGTAAATAAGCCATAGAAAATAAAGTAGAAGAAGAAAATATAGGTACGAACTATGAAAAGTAAAGGGTTGCAAGCGAGTAGCGAAGTAGCGAGTTGACTTGTATTTTATGAAAATGGCTAACACCTGGAACTGATGCAACTCATGTTGCTTCTTGTTTTAGTATTAGAATATTGAGACAACCAAATTATGCTAATTAGTAAACTGCAACCATCACACACAAAAATTATTTGAAAATGTGTAAATCCTTTAAATCTTCAATATGTGCATTTTATATGAATTTTACAAGGCAGAACTTCAGAAGTGGTGCAAATATTTTGTTTTCTCTTCACTATATCTTTCATCAAATCAAGAACTTATAGGTAAACTCTCTGTTGGATTGGGTTGAACGTATCCCAATACAAAAATAATAAATATTTTTTAATATCCTTCCGTTTCTTATTGAACTTCCTAGTTTTAATTGCACACAATTTAACAAAATATATATATTTTCTTTGATTTCCTGAAATGCCCTTTTTACTGGGTAAGTACTGTAGAGTACAATGTTTGACATTAATTGGTACGGTTTAACACTGTTTGGTATTCTACAATCATTATTACGTAAGGGTAATAGAGTAAATTGATAGGAATTCTTTTACCAACAAGGAAAGAGAGCATTATGTAGGGACATTCAAAGAGAGAAAGTAGGAAGTCTTGTACTCTTTTAAGAGATAGAGGGAAGACAATTTCACGTGACATCATTATGTTCTTATGATGGTAATTTGAAATAAAATAGCAAAACTAATCAATCATGTAATGAAAGATATGAGTATTCTGTTGTCACAAAAAGTAGTTAGAAGAAACACTTGAAAGTGTTCGCTTCTTGACCCTATTAGGTGACCTCTGTTTCTCTTTGCTTATATACTTGGACAGGTCTTGACAAGCTTGCTGACATATCCGCGTATTTGATACAGATACAATACTTATACTCACTGATACACATACTCTATGTATGGGGCACATATCCATAATTTCACGAAAGTACTGGATGAATTTATAAAAAGAAAAACTTTCACCAGTATTGGTAGACCGATATGCATGTTTAAGTAAATATCTGCCCGATTCTCATTCACCGCAATGTATGAGAAATGATATAAGAGTGCTTGAACATGTCAATCATTCAATTGATGAGTCGAGTTTGATGGTATTCAACTTTAGAATTTGAAGTTTTGAACTACGAGTCCATTATTTTAAACTCTGTGTTGTGATTCAAGACTTTTTTATCATATTTATCAGTTGTTGGTATTGTTGGTATTTTACTTATGAACCTTTAGAATTATTTTTTGTGACTTTTTTTGAAAATTAACTCAAATATTTTTATTATTTTCAAATATAACCCTATTCAACATAGTTGACATGGTGACAAGCACATGCTCCTCATTTAGCGCATGAGGTTGACCTTTGATGTTTAAATATTAGGAAATTTCCTTAACTAGGAGTAAAAATGTTTATGAATTCCAAAGTAGAGGCATTATGTTTTTATTCCCTTAAACAGGAGTAATTACTAATTACTGTCATGCTTGTAATACTGTCACTTATGGCGGTATACTGTCATACTTAAAGTCTGGAAATGCCAAAATATAGCAGTGAATTTTCAGGATATCAGTAATGTACTCCTACTTAGGAGTGAAAATATAGTACTTCTCTTATTTTTTACATTTTACATTTTACATTATTTTTTCTCTTATTTCAGGAATTTTCCCTAAAATATATCATCTGAATTTACTTTAAGGTAGCAAGGCTTGGAACTGGTACTGATGTGCCTTACAGGATGGCGGTTCACCCTGGAGGAGAAGGTCTTATTTGTTCTTTACCCAAAAGTTGCAGGTATACTTGCAGTATAGTGTATGACCAATCATTTACTTGTTACTAGAAAACTACTGTTAGGGAATGAAGCAAAAAATACTACCAACAACTGTTATATATCAACCGTTTGCGATGTATGTTTTTAACTCTGATATCATAAGTCGATTCCTGATAGCTAACCCCAAACTCTTTTGACAATAAGGCTTCAATGTTGTTTGTTGGTGTTTGTTGTTGTTAGAGAATGGGGGAAATAAAAGAGGAGAGGTGTATCTAGTTCATACATAGCATTTTAGAGTACAAAATATTGCAGTCATTCTATAATACTCCCTCCATCCCACAATTGAATTCGTAGTTTGACTTAAGTGGTGTTTAGGCAAAACAACTTCTTTTATTAACTTTTCAAATATGTCTTCCTCAAAACTATGATAGAGGAATTAATAATGATGTACTTTTCATAGGGTAAAAGAGTAATTTACCCAAAGTTGTCTTGACACATGGCGATCATCGTGATGCAGGGTAGTTTTCCGTGGTCATGGCCATGGTGATGGGATGGCACATTTATGGCGTTGGCACGAAATATTAAAAATAACTAGGCTAAATATTACCTACAGGCGACAAAGTTCTATTCCATTTGACTTAACAACCAATAAAAGAGTTAGCTAACAAAATCTAAATAGTACCAAAAGTAATTCTAATCAAACACACTTAACCACTTTATTAGTAGTTAACAACAGTCCCCACTGGGACTCCCCAGGTTTACGTCTGGTGGTCGCTGCCCACTGTTACTCAATTACAGTCTTCGATTGTTCTTGTGAGTTTTGTCATGTATTTCTTTGGGATTAGCCGTTATTTTCTAGTAACCGATCGTATGCCTCAGTCACTCATGTGTTAGCCATTTAGGGTTTAAATAATTAATATCAAGGCCTAAGTTAACTGACTTAGGCCTAGTTAATACATCCCTGTTTTGAAAAACCTAAAATAAGACCCAAATATGGTGAGCATGGCGCAGGAATGGCGATGCCTCATGTATAATAGATGCCAGCACAAGGGATTGTGACGAAGGCCCTCCCAAACGCCAATGGCTATCGCCATTTGCGCCATTGACTACTCTATTTTTACTCCTCAAGAAGTAGGAAGTTGGTTTTGGGGCACCTCAAAAAGTAAATGAGAAGTTCGTTGTGGAATGGAAGGAGTATATATATACAGTTAAACATGGGTAGACTGTACTTTTTAACTCTTTGGACTTTGAACTTCCAATCTAAGTCCACTCTTTTCATGAATGTTGAAATCAGGTGGTTTGAGTGGGATGCAAGCAATACCACAGATGATGGTGCTTTAGCTCTAAAATCGTCTCAGAGAGTTCTTAAGAATTTGGAAGACATTGAGCTGCAACTAGCACTAACATTTAACAATGAGGGTTCCCTACTTGCTGTTGGTGGTGAGGTTGGTGTCTTCTTTTCTACTGCTCACAATTTTAAGTGTTTGGCTCACAACATTGTAGAAAACCCTTTTAATCTGAATTTTGAAAGATAAAACAGACAAAGGCGCAAAGCTGCGGTTAGTTGTGTCTTGACAACTTGACTCTATCCCAGAGGCAGGAAAAAGTCTGTCCATAAAATACCCTCAGAGCAAAAAAAAAAATCATCTAGGACCAGAATTAGAGTTTTAGTGAATCAGCAAGTGGCCAAGCGTACTTGTCATTTCCTTTTTGTATAGTAGCCTTTGGTAAGCTATCTAACACTTAACAGTATGTTTACTCATCTATAGAATAGGGGCACTTGCCTATTTCTGTCCTCCTTTTGGTAAGCTCTTTCCCTTATTTGTTATTTTAAAATGCAGCAAGGAGCATTTTAGTAAAACAAAAACATTGTTCTGTATTATCACTTTTTTTTATGCAGAACAGGATGGCAAGCTTAAAGTTTTCAAATGGCCAAGCATGGAGATTATTATTGATGACCCCAAGGATAGTTCTTCTGTAAAAGATTTAGATTTCAGGTTCATAATGATTACATTATTTTGAAATCGTTAAGTCACCCTTTCAATACCTCTTAAATCTACAGCTTCAATCTAGGGTTTTAATTGGGTCAATGTGGTCATATCTGCAGCCCTGATGGAAAATTTCTCGTATCTCTCGAAAGTGGCTGTTGTAGGGTCTGGAATGTCTCAACATTAACATTGGTGGCTTCTTTACCGAAGAAAAATGTATGACTTAAGTTTCCAGAGTCACTCCTTGGTGTTCAATAACTATTCATGCTTTGTATTGTTGAAGCCAATATCTTTGCTTTATCGTTCCTTTCAACACAATCACACATATTCACATACTCCATTAGCTTAAAATCTGTGTTAAATAAAAAAGAAGTTTAATTAGGGAAAGAGTGGGTATTTGAAATACATTGTATTGATAAATTAGAGAAAATATGTAATGAGATGGCTAAAGTGATCAACTGATCATCATTAATAACCTCACCCGAATACTATTTCTAGCCCTACTTTCTTTCATTATAAACCCATTCAGCGCGTGCAGTCAAGCAAATTTGCATTTAGTATACAAAATGGCTGATAAAGCATTAAGACAAAAAAAAGTGGCTACAGAACGGCCAATTAAATATCTTTATATTTTCAACTTGGAAAAATCTATTTGGTTTAATTCTATAACTCTGAAATTATTCAAAAAAGTTATGTTATGCATTATACATCCAAGGTTGTTCTAACTTCTAACTCACTTATTTATGGTAAGTCTAGTGTCTGCCTACGTGAGTTTCTTGTTTTCATTGCCACTTTAGTCCCCCATTCTTGCAGTAGTCTTCTGACAGTGTGTGCTTCTTTTCGTACGACCAGGATGAGATGTTTGGATTTTGTAGGTTCTCGCGAAGCAGTAAGAACCAGACCATCTACGTCACTGCTTCACAGGGTAAACATTTAATTTTGGACGTTTCTTTCGTTTTTGTATCCGCTGAATTTATGGATTCACGTCTAGAATAAAATCATATGATGCGTCTCTCCACATTTGTAGGAAAAGGAGGAAGTATTGTAATGTGGAACACCACTACATGGAAGAGGATGAACTCAAAGCTGGTTGTCTCTCTCCCGATTTCAGCATTTGATGTTTCAGCTGATGGGAAGCTCCTAGCAGTGTGAGACTTACTCAGGAGTGCAATTTATTTGGTTGTGAACGAGTCTGATTTTGAGTTTTATATGCCCTGGTTGAGGTCACTAGTGTCATATATAGGCTGTGTCGGTGTTTGCTTCTGCTTGTGGGAAATGAATTATTTTAGAGAATGTAGAGAAAATGCTTACTTAAAAAGTTGCTGTTTTTTGGAAAGTGAAGTGATTCGGAAAAATAGACGTTAGAGTACTTAACTCGTGGTGTATTAGTCAGGTAAAATATTATGGAAAAATTAAAAGCATTTTAAAGCACACTCGCTTAGAACTTTTTAGCTTTGTCAAGAAGAAATAACAAAAGTGCTTTTTAAGCAATGACAGACATTCCTATACAAAGAAATTACTTGAGTTCTGTTAAGAAATATGATTTGCATTGGCAGGTAAGCAAAAAAGCCACACACCATTGTTAAGCAAGAGGTTAGTTGAATAGAAAAGGACTGAAATGGATTGATTAGAACATGATTGCTTTGATCAGGGTGCTCTTTTGTTTATCGGACATTACAAATCACATTTCTTTATGTTAGTTTTCTACTATTAGAATGAGAGAAATCAGAAAAGGGGGAAAGAACCAATGTGGTAATTTTCTTTTCAGTGGGACCACTGAAGGCGAGGTTCGAGTCTTGAGTTCTGAAAATATGCGAGTGCTGATGACGGTTAAGAAAGCACATATGGGTATACCAACCAAAGTAGCATTCTCTGATGATTCAAGGTTCCTATAACTTACTAAAAACTACCATCTTTGTTTCATAGGTTTTGTATGTGTATATATATAAACCAAATGATTCATGTGTTTTTACTTTTTAGGGCTTTGCTATCTGCGTCAATGGATTCAAGTGCAAGGGTGACACTTATCAAGGACAATCACAGTAAAAATGGTTTGTAGTTTCTTTATTCCAATACTCACGATTTATATATCAAATAAATTCAGAATTATTGAGTTGATGGTTTAGTTTTGTGACATCAACATGTATATCATGTACTCCATGTAGTATTTACATCCTTTGCAGGAGGGTTCAATTTCTGGATGATACTTTTTGTCATTTTATTGGCAATAGCTGTGTACTATGCAACGCAGGAAGGGAAGCTTTCATGGCAGCACAACTTCCCATTCAAGTTCTAGAATAAAAGTTCACTGCCGTCGCTACATTTTGATAATTTTCTGCTATCGCCCTTTGTTATAGACAATAGTTGAGGTTGCCCCTCTTAGAAATAGATTAATAAATTACGCACTTAATAGTGTAATGTACCCTGGAGACCGTGATGTGCTTAGATAATACAAGTAACAGTTCCTGTCTTTTCCGTTTGGTGTCAAGATTCAAGAAGGCTTTCCCAAATAACAGAGACCCATAGAAAAAATCTCGTACTTCGTTCTTTATGTGGATATATGCCTATTCACATGCATTCCCATTTCTAGTTCACTATATCACTAGCTCCTCCTAAGTTTCAACTGTCAATATGGTTTTCGCTTTTCACGGAGTATATATGATTATATGAACAAGAGAGGCCTGATCCAGTGATCCTGTCCAGCCGGAGGGACAGGACCCGCCGTCCGGCCGTCGCCATTTGGGGTCCTTCCCGGTAGAATTTTTTGTTGTATTTTTTTAGCATGTTCTTCATCAAGTTTAGTTTATCGATACTAAATTTCAGCTAAAAATTCAATCGGGAAGACAGTCAAATGGTTTTTGGAAGTTAACTGCGCAGTTTATATACATATAAAATGTAGTTATCTTCCAAAAACCATTTCAGTGTCTTCCCGGTTGAATTTTTAGCTGAAATTTGGTATGAATAAACTAGACTTGATGAGGAACATGCTCAAAAAAATTCATCAAAAAATTCCACCGGGAAGGGCCTCTGATGGCCTTGGCCGGACGGCGCCTCCCGTCCCTTCGGATAGGGATGGACTCGGGCCGGGCGGCTCGGCCCGGTTACTGTTTGAACCGGCCCGGCCCGGGAACCGGTCCGGGGGGCGGTTCGGGTCGGGTCGGCCTGGCTACTGTGTGGTTCGGGCCCGGGCCCTTTGATTGGCGAACCGGCCCGGCCGGTTCGGGCCAATTTTTTTTTTTTTTTGAATTTTTTTTAAGTTTTTGGGTTGGGCTTGGTATTTTGGGCCATTTGAGGTCGTTTGGGGTGGTTTGGGGTGAGGGGGGAGGGTTGGGGGTTAATTAGGAAAAGCCAAAAAAAAAAAAACGAGGCCCGGCCCGGCCCCGGGATTACCCGGGCCTCCCATTTCTGAACCGAGGCCCGGCCGGGCCCGAACCGGAACCGGTCCACCCATACCTTCGGATGGACCTAATCTTTTCTGATGAACAAGATGCCTGAAAACGAAGCTTTCACTTGATCTATTTATAGCTTCAACAAATATGGTTACTATTATACGTTTTTTATTAATATATGGTAAGACTTCTCTAATTCTGATGATACCTCTATGGCTCTATCCCTAGAGAAAGCCAATGCTTCCAACTTTTGTGTGGTCATATGAAAACAAAACTAGAATGTTTTGCGCCTATTTTTCTCTTTTAATTTATTGGTTTTAATTGTAGATTTTCCTTTAATAGTTACGAGGCTTTTTGGATTATTGTTATGATTTTCCATGACAAAAGCCATTAACGTAAAACTGTAAAAGCTCAATATTATGCCTTCCTTGGTAATAGACTTCATTTTCTTCCAAGGACAAACACCTTTTTAAAAATATCACAAAAATTCTTGAAAAATTAATTCTACTCCTATATACGAAGTACTACGTATTATTGTTGCACAAAGTTCGATTACCATGTTCCTTTCAAAAAAAAGTTCGATTACCATGCCTTCTTTGTATCTCATACGTAGTATATTTACTTGTGAATATGAAGAAAGTGTAGAATTTGATATGTTGAAATGGGGGAAAGAAATAATTTATATTTCTTCATTTGCAACAATGAAGAAACAAGTATTAAGTGATGCCAACAATGAAAGGATTCAGTGCTTGTAAAAACCAAACTGGATGCACAATCACTTGAAAAACTCATTTGTTTCCACGATTAGTTAAAACTAAAGTAACATATACAAGAATGAAACATCACATTAGCGCACCATCGATGCAACCACAAGTGAAGGATGCGGAAGTTTGGAAATATCGAGTTTTTCTTATCAATATAAACAATATTGTAAAAATAATAAAGAATATAATTATGTTTATTTGATTTCTCTTTCAGACTATCACTATAGAGAGAGAGAATACATACCCCTCTTATGAAGGTCGAAGTCATTTTTTTATAAAGTAAAGTATGTGTTGACTCGTTTTCGGAGTAGGCGTTAAAATTCGATGGAACCATATTAAAAACTATCGGCGTTAAATTCGGTTTGGTTCTATTTAAAAATTTAGTTGTTAAATTCGGTTCGGTTCTAGTTAAATTCAGTTCGGTTCTTACCTTTTCTCGGTTCCTTATAAAAATTTATTATCCTTTTAAAATGAACATATTTTACCTTTAGTTACATACTAGTAAAAAATTAAAATGTCAAATCATAAAATTATGACCATTACATTATCCATACATGGTATCCCAATGTTCAAATATCACAACAATTTCAAAGTGCAAACATCAAGTTTAAACATAACAAAAACATAAAGGTTTAAAATAGAAATCAACTATCAAGAAAAAAGGTTTATTGGAGTTCAAGGTACACATCCAATAGCAGGTAGTTCAACCCCAAAATAATATTCTTCTACTAGTAATGCACCATAAGTAAAAAGTACGTAGTAATAAACTAACCGATAACATTTGTAATTTACTATGAACAACGGAATATTAATTCCTTTTTAGGTGAACTTATATAACAAATACAATTACAAACAAACAATAAATTTAAAAGTGAGCTAAAGTAGTAAAATAACAAATACTCGGATAGTCGGATTGGCATGGTCAACAATATATATGGTATATTATGCAAGACAAATTGATGGATAGTCTACCCGGGGGGTATCTTATCCGAGGGGTTATTGCGGAAATAACTAGAGAGAAGTCGGAGCAAAATAGGAGGAGAGAGAGTCGATTATATTAAATGAACTCAGCGTGGTTTACAAGGAGAATAAGGGCTGCTATTTATAGCAGCAATAAATGCGATGAGAGTACACGTGTCAGTAATCCAACGGCCGAAGGGTCACGTCAATCGGGTGGCACTGGCAGTGGCACGTTCACCGCATTGAATGCGGTGGGTGGGTGTGATGTCGCATTAAATGCGGTGGTTGCTTGTCTCCAAAGGGAATCTTCGATGATTGAGTCGTTGGCCGAAGGCTTTCCCTTCGGCCGAGGGCTCTATGTAGCCGAAGGCATGTGAATGTCGGAAACTTCCCTGATACCGAGGGCACCTTGTGTGCCGAAGGCTCCTGATGGCCGAGGGCCACCATTTTACGCCGTTTTCTCCCAGTGGCTTCTCGTGTTCAAAACTGGCTGCCCTGTGTAATTTGGAGCCTTCGGCCAAAGAGGCCGAAGACACCCCAGCGTGTGTTCTGGGCTCCTTTGAGGCTTAGGCCGCACCACTTGGGCCTGAGATGCTCCCTGGGCTCAATGGGCTTGTGTATGAGAAGTAGGAGTCTGTGGGCCGGGGGTTCCTGGGCCATATACTCTATCACAAATATTCTGACAAGAATTTTCTGCCCGAAACTCCGCCAGGCCGCCTTCATTTGAGGTGCTTTCGAGTAGAATTGTTTGATGAGATTTTGTGATCATGGTCTACATAAAATGAAGATTATATCCACCAAATTTCATCTTAAAATTCAATCGAGAAGTAAGTTAAATAAAATATTGAAAAACATTGTGTTTTTGTATGTGTTTTGATGTAGTGTTTTTCAATAATTTATTTAACTGAATTCCCGATTGAATTTTAAGCTCAAATTTGGTGGACATAATGTATATTTCATGAGCAACCTCATAAAATTTCATAAAAAAACTCCATCCAGAAGCACCTCAAATAAAGAACACATGCATGTACAAGAAGTTCGGTTCCTGCCCAGGAACCGGAACCGAACCGATCATATACTATAGGAACTGAACCAAAAAAAAAACTGAAGTTCAAAATTATAGGAAGTTAGGAACCGAACCGTTGGTTCGGTTCAGATCGGTTTCCCGGTTTTACAGTTCCAAATCCCGGGCCTAAATCGAAGATCGGACTTCTATAATAGAAATCTGGTACTCACCCCACTTTTTGTGGTCCTCATAAAAAAACTCAGAACCAACCTAATCCAGGTCTTCCCGAATACCATTATAGTGGCTAATTGTTTTTGAGTTACTGCATGTGGATTGACCGTTTCACACTTTCACATATGAACAAAAGCCAAAAAGCAACCTACCTGGCTAGCTTGCCGTCCAAGCAAATAAAAGGCTACAATGTTAGGAAGGGGAATAAACTCATTAAAGTCAACCATTCATAATCATTTACTTATCTCTATTTGTGTATTATTACTCCCTCCTTCCACTTTGCTATCTGCCTTTATCATTATCTAAAGAATTATGTCACTTCTTATTTAAAATAATCAATTTATAGTTCTTTTCATTTATTTCTCACGAATCTCAATTACAAACTTTTTATTTTTCTTGTTTTCATCTAATTCAAAATGTGTGGAGATAAGAGTGTAATCTTCCCTCCGTCTCACTTTAAAATTCTCATTTTAACTTGCACGCATACTAAAGAAATACGGAATATTTTTCTCCTTTGATTCCCTGAAATGTTATTTTACTCAAGAGTAATTAACTTTTACTATGAATTACGCAATTTTGACATTGTTTGACATAGTTTTACTCTGTTTTGATACGTAGTATATACTCCCTCCGTCCCAAAAAAATGTTCCCGATTTCCTTTTTGGGTCGTCCCAAAAAATTGTTCCACTTTTCCCTTTTGGAAAGTTTTGTGTGGTTCGCATTCATTTACTTTTTTCTGACACAATCACAATCATACATTTCCACTTTATTCTCAATTTCTTAAACTCCGATCCAAGTTAATGCGGGAACAATTTTTTGGGAGGGAGAGAGTATTTATTTATCCAATAAAAACAGACTTTTTTAGGAGACACCAAAAAAGGAAGTTGGGGGTTGGGAATTTTATTTAGCTATGGAGAGAATATATAATATGGGGTCATACTACAAGCCAGCAAGTGCTTGACCCCATTTCTCATTATATCAAATACGTAGTAAATATATACTCTCTAGCTAGCTGCTGCAGCTTCATTCCATATTTCCATATATTGCTGGTCTAAAAAAACAAGTCTTTCGATCAAAATCCATTTCTTGGAGTTCAGTTCCGGCAAGAAATCAAACATGGGAGGTGATGGGCACAAAGAAAAAGAGGAGGAAGAAGAAGAAGCGGCGGCGGGCGGGAGGGCGGTACTGATCAGACAAAAGAAAGAAGACGGCGGCGCCATGA